GAATGTTCTCCAGCCAGGAAGTCAACTCTTAAATAGCGTGGATGCGGGGTCTGAACCCCGGGTACACTGAGGTCCTGCACAGTCCAGATCTCGATATGAATGAGGGCCCAGATCGGCCAGAAACTGTATTTCTCCCGCCCTGAATGCTGTCTGGGTACCTGCACACAACAAGTGAATGTATCCGTCCATAGGCCTGGGTACGGTACCTTTGACTCTACAGTTGTCTTTGACTGTTGAATTTCCCTTGTGCTGCGTTTGGTCACACAGCCTCCTCAACGGACTCAGGCTGGGCATGTCTCGGTCACATAGCCCAGCACAGACAACTGAGTCTGTGTCTTACCGGGGGCAAAGTTCTGAGCCCCGGTCTGCTGTTGAACAGGGTTACTGCACCTCTGTGCAAACATTTCAGGAAGTGGGGTCCATACAGTTGCAGCACGCCATGCATGCTGGATATAGAGGCCGAAAATGTCAATGGGAAACCGGTCCACTATCTGAATCTGGCCACAGGCCTTGATGAAAGAGGCGCATCTGCATCTCCTGGGCCCCAACCACATCGGGCCTGGGTACAGGTCCTGGGGCCCAGGCGCAGGCTCAGGGGAGGCCGTCCACACGCAACACTGGCATATAGGCAGGGAGGGCGAGTGGGCAGGGATCTTGGCCATTGCGGGCAATGCCGGCACGCTGCGTGAATGCGAGGTGCTGTGCTGCGCTAGGCTGAGGTAGAGGCAGGCTGCGCTAAGCGGTAGGGTGCTGCCTGGGCGCAGGGCGCTGGCGGCCATAGCCGGGCTGCCTGTAGGCGCAGAGGAGGTGAAGGGCGCTGTGTGGGATAACAGGGGAGAGTGAGGTGGAAGACAGGGACGTACCTGGTGGAGAGGAAGTCGGCATTGGTGTTGACATCATCACTCGCTGGTCGTCAAGTTGTCTGGTTGCTTTCATGCTGTAGTTGTAGTGATAGGCTGTAGAGTAGGTAGGGCGCCTGCCGCCATTCAAGAGAGAGAGCTACATTGGGTTATGCTGTTGGTGTTGCCCGATTGGGCTTGGACACTGACTCACGATTCTTCTGTATCGTTCTCAAATGGATGGTTACTCGGTTCCATTGTGCTATCTGCTCTTGCTCTGACTACTTGGACCAGTGTGATTTTGCAATCTGGATTTCTGTGCTTCGTCCACATTCATGTTCCTTGCACAGCAGTCGGTTCCAGGGCTTAAGGTGAGGATGGGTGGAAAGATAGAAGGCAGGTTCCCTTGTTTTTGTTATTTTGTCATTTTGCTAATCCAGTTTAGTCTTTGTTTTGGGAATAGCATGAAGCTTCTTAGGAGAAAGGGACACTGGACCCGGTTTCCAGTAAGAGCCAAATCTGGGTAATGGGCCCATTCTTCCGGGTTGAGATGTGGAGGGTTTCCCGGCCTCCTTTTGCTCCATATATAAAAAAGCATGCTAAAAAAAAAATAAAAATAAAAAAAAGAAGGAACAGGGGAGAGCGTAATCAAGAAAGGCAGCATTGTTGGAAGCAGCAGGGGACACAGGATTATGGTAGGGGTGGATCACCGTCAGCATGGTGAGCCCAGAAAGTGGATTTGGAGGCAGGCGGCGTGCGCAAACAAGGAATGAGGAAAAGGAAGAATTCCGAGGTCCAGAAGAGATGGGTTTCAGGTTCATCCCGATGGGGTGTAGCTTGGGACGGAGTAGCACGAGAACAGAACTTTGGTCGGGCTTGGTGGGTAGCCTAGTCCCGGGACAAAGACGGGCGTGGTAGCAGTGGAATCACAGGCACAAAGGAAAAATCAGAAACAATTTTTAAAAAAATGAAGGTGATGGGGTATAGGGAGTAAGGGGAGTATGGGAAATATTGGGGTATGAGAGGCTGATGCCTAACCCAGCTAGCGCCTAACCTTTCAAACTGAGAACTTGTGCAGGGTATGGCCCCAGCTCGCCTAACCCAATCTGAAAAGCTTTTACCCAGAAATCCCAGCATCCTCCTTTAGCAGCTGAAAAACCATCGAGGGCCTTGTCGAAAAGTTTCCTTGGAAAACCCTTCAGTCTGAGCTCCCTCCTAAGAGCAAGCAGAGTAACACTCACTCCTCTACTGTCTGAGGAGTGGGTGAACATCTGACTGAAGTGATATTTCACAGCAGCTTTCTTTTGCTCGATCGGCCCATAGGAAGAAAAGTCCTGGCTGCGGATGATTTGGACAGGGTTGATGTTGCTCCAGATGTTAACCTGGTTTTTCGTCGCAGCAGTACAGCGGATGAGAGGAGGCTCTTCACAGCATGAGATGGAGCATCCAAGAAACTCCCACAAACCACTCTGATCAGCTGTCCGGACCAGAGTGAGATTGCCATCATATGAATTCTCAAACATTTGGAAAAGTCCATCGGCCCTCTGTCGGACCTTCGTGGTCTTCCTAGGGAGTAACAGAAACAAACTGACGTCATCTACAAGCCTAAGGCCATCACGAAGCATACATCAGTCCCAATAGACTTCAAGAAATTCAGCTCACTAAAGGAGCGAAGTAGGCAGGCTAAGGCGGGGCTCGAGCTTTTTTCCATTGGGATACCAACCGTCTGTCTGATGATATAACTTGAAGCACGAGTAATAGTGTTATCTAGATCGAACTTGGCGAAGTTGAGAATCTGCTCTAAGCTGATAGTTCCCCCCTCACAGCATACACACTCTGCGGAAAAAACAATTGGGGAGCTGGGATACCAGGCTGGGCGCCCGGGCACCGCGGACCTCCCTGGAAAGGAGGTGGTCAGGTGGCCTCCTGGGCTGCCCCAGCGCAAACCGGGACTGGACTATTTTGGACCAGGTAGGCGGAGGCCATGCATGCCGCCAGGCCATGGGAAAATGTTTTCTCATAGACCACCAGCCAATCTCAGCCATTGCTCCACTAAGATTAACAGCTGAGATCGTCAGATTAGGTTACATCCCCAGTTTGTTGGGTTCAAATGCCCAGCAAACTGGGTGCTCTCATCCTGCCTTCTTGTTATGCGTTGATCACCTTGTGGCCTCGTCGCCTCATCCATCATCACCCAGCCGTGCAGCTTGCCTCCATCGCCAAGAAGTCACCATCATGCCATGCCAGCAAACCCCACCATAGTCATCCCCAAGCCCAGTCGACTTCGACTTCTTCTTCTTCTTCTTCTTCTTCTTCTTCTTCTCCTCCTTCAATTGTGTTCCTCTTCTTTTTTCTCATTCTCTCCTCTTCATTTTGTTCTGCATTTATCTTCATTCCTTTTCTCTTCTTCTCCTTCCTTTTTCCTCTTCTTATCCTTCGTGTAGAGAGAGAGAGAAAGAGGTCACCTCCTCCACCCTACCCACCACTTCTCCCCTGCACCACCCACCACCTCTCCCCCACCCCAGCTGCCAGCACTCCCCCGCATCCGCCACCTTTAACCCCACATTCCATCACCACTCCCCCTCATCTGCCACCTCTTCCCCACCCCATCACACCACCTCCCTCCCTCACATCAGGCAAATCTCTCCCATGCCATCCATCACATATTTTTTCCCCTCCAATCGCGCCACCTCCCCTCTCCATCCGCCACCTTTACCCCACACCGTCATGCCACTTTGCCCTCCACATCTGCCAACTCTCCTCCACCACATCGTGTCACCTTTACGATGGTAGACGGCTTGCTGTTTCTTGGGAAGGCAGGGAATAAAAAGATTGTGTTCCAGATAGTGAGTCTTTGCATGGTTTATTTTCAGGGGAATGTCATGATGCAATTGACCATTTTGGCTATAAAAGGACATCAGCTAACCTAGTGCAGAGATTTTGGTGGCCTACTATGATGAAAGATGCAAAAAGATACATTGAGACCTGCCACGTTTGCCAACGGGACAAACCTAGGACTCAGGCTCCACTTGGGCTAATCAAGCCCTTGCCGATTCCTGAAGGCCCAGGTCAGAGTGTGTCCATGGACTTCATGGATACTCTTGTGACCAGCAGGACTGGCAAGAGACACATCTTCGTTATTGTGGACCGCTTTTCTAAATATGCAAGACTTATCGCTMTGYCGGAGACTGYTAAGACTGACTATATCATCAARCTGTTTTTGGATAACTGGGTCCGTGATTTTGGACTYYSTACRTCTATAGTAAGTGATAGGGATGTAAGATTTACCAGCGAACTGTGGCAGTCAACAGCTGAGCAGATGGGCACCAAGCTACAAATGACGTCAGGGAACCACCCTGAGTCAAATGGCCAGGCAGAACAGATGAACCGAGTAGTACAGCACCTGCTTCGGCATTATATTTAGCCAAGTCAGGATGACTGGGACAAGAAGTTACCTCTCGTCGCCAGCCTGTACAACAATGTTGTGCACAATACTACTGTTATGACTCCCAACCAACTGCACCTTGGTTGGAAGCCCAGAACTGCACTTGACTTTCTGCTACCAGAAAGACAGCCCACTGCAACACCTAGCAGCATAGAGTTTGCTGTCAAGTACGAGCAGATGCTGCAGCAGGCCGTCGAACATATTAGAAAGTCTCAGGATGCTATGATCGCATCTGAGAATAAGCATAGACGGCCCTCTAACTTTCAGGTAGGTGATAGAGTCTGGGTCAAATCTTTTGAACTGGGTCAGGAGCTGGGCATATCTCGCAAACTGATGCCACAGTACTTTCGTCCTTGGGAGGTCCTAGATATAGTGGGGGATCAGATAGACGGACCTTCCTATGTAATTCACATCCCACCTCACTTACGCACACACCCAGGTTTTCACGCCTCAAAGCTGGCACCTTTCGCAGAAACTGCACAGTTTCCTTCCAAGCGGTCAATGTTGCCCCCAGCCATGGATGGTGAAGTTGGCATCGACGGAATTGTGGAGCATCGAGTGATGCCAGTGCCTAAACCGGCGGGCAGAGGCCGCCCTCCTAAGCCAAGAATGCAATACCGAGTCAGATTCAGACATCATCTGGATCCCAGCGAAGATCGGTGGTTCACAAGAGAAGAACTCATGTGAACACCACCTCAAGTTATTGCAGGCTACGAAAAAGAACTCAAGGGGAAGATGCCTGCAGATTAGAAGACTTCTCAGAGGGCTATCGAAGAAAAGGAGGAGGGAATGCGAGGATCTGGGTCCTCGGCAGGCCTAAGGGGCCCCTGCTGCAGATGTGCCCGCCCTAAGTGAAGGCGGGCCTAACAAATCACGAGAGGCCGTCAGCTTTCAATTTCGTATTTGGGGTCCAGGCAGTTTCGACGCACCAGTTGATTGAGGGAAACACAGGCCGAGCAGCAAGACATTCCACGGCCTTCCAGGCCTTTCCAAAAATGTAGGCCCTGGGCGAGAATCGCAGCCTCATACACAGGTAGTTGGGAGGCCCAACCGAACGGAGGCCCAGCAGCAGCATCGGAGGCACAACGTCCTGGGGCCTACCGGAAGCTTCTAGGCAGAGGCCCAAGCCAGCCAGGCCGCCGAGAGAGGCAGGCTCTTTCCATATAGGAAAGAGCTCGCTGCCTGGCCGGGCATTCAGCACTTGCATGCTGGCGGCAGCGCTGCTCGAGCGGACGCTCGTAGGCTGCTGCTGGCGGTGAGAGGCAAGCTGCTAGCGCGTGCGGTCGTGCAGGAAGCAGGGCGCTGCTGAGGGCAGTGCCATAGCCCAGCCTCCATAGCTGGATGGGCTTGGACTACAGTGAGGCGCAGGGGTGGTCTTCGGGTGTACAGAGGGAAGACGTGGGTGTAAGTCGAGGGAGAGAGAGAAGGATGATGATGATGATGATGATGATGATGATGATGATGATGATGATGATGATGATGATGTGAGGGCACATACCTGGTATAGGCGATGGTGTGCATGGTTGACATCTTCAAGTACTTCGTGGGCTGCTGACATCAACAGTTGCATTGTCAATTAGTAGGCAGACAGTAGCTGTGTAGGAAGTAGGCTGGGCACTGAGCGCCAACTAGGGAGAAGTTCCTGGACTCTTGTGTTGGTGGTGGCGAGAGCAATCTCTCATTGACATTGGTTTTCAGTGTTACGATTCTCCACTGGTGTCATATTGGTGCAATGCTGCTTACTGGACACTGTGATACTATCTGGCCTTGAATGTGATTGTGCATTCTGAATATTGTCATCTCGCTGTTGCTCATTTTCCTTGCACAGTACTCAGCAGAGCACCTAGCCATACAAGCAATCCAGCACGGCACGAACAACAATTTGACCATACCCAGGTGTCATGCCCATCAGCGGAGCAGAGCGCACCATGACATATACGTGTAGAGCTAATGGAATGGGAAGACCAAGATGTAATCTGCGAAAAAGGAAAAAGAAAGAGATGGAAATCAAGGTGGTTGAGTGCAAACCTGACATGAGAAGACAGACCCGACACGGGACCACGACACAACTGATAGGGCAAGACAAGCATTCACCAGAGTGTCTGCCATCCATACATACTCCTCGATGCGGTACCTCACCTGAGCCCCTGCCTGAAATGCATTCTCCATGGAGACACCCCATGCTCCTAGTGCATCAATGAGTTGTGAGTTGCGTTTCTGCATCGTCTTGTTCGGAGTGTTAGCGTAGTACTCCATCGCAGCCTTTCTGAGGTGAATCAGTTCTGCCGTCTTCTGATCCAGCTGATCCTCCAGTGCTCGTTGGTGATGGTCATAAGCCTCCAACTCCTCTTGCAGTACCAGAATTTGTTCGTCTCGTTCATTCAGACGTGCTGTCAGCGCTATCATGATATCCCTCTGCTTCAGGAGAAGTTGCTTGTATCGATCCACCTGGAAGCAGAGACAATGTCCAGTTGAGGTAAGGCATGTATCACGAGATAAAAGGAGGCACTGAGCAGCTCCACATCTTACTTGGATAAAAACAGAGACACCAGTCATGTCACCTCAACGACCAACCCACAGGCTTGAAACCAATGAAACTTCCCAGAAAATCCCAAGAATGGTATTCTTAGCCCTGCACGTAGAAAAGAGAGAGAGAGAAAGGAACGTTTCTTTTTTTTTTTGGTTGGGAGAGAGAGAGAGAGAGAGAGAGAGAGAGAGAGAGAGAGAGAGAGAGAGAGAGAGAGAGAGAGAGAGA